CGGCGCCCGCGGAGCCCGTCCGCATTCCCCGAGCAGGACCCGGCGCCCGCCGCGGAGCCGCAGGACCCGATGCCCGCGGCGCCGCCCCGGCCCCTCGCTCCACGTGTCGGCCCGGCGCGGAAACCGCCCCTTCCCTCCCCGTGGCGGCAACACCATCGCTCCGCCGGCACGGGAGTCTCCCTGGCGCCATGAACTGGAGCTCCTCTGCCGCCAGCGGCACGAGCAGAAACGCGATGCACTTTAAAGGGAGGCTCTGAGGCGGTGTTGGAAGGGGCTGCGCTCTCATCCCCATCCCTCCCCGCACTCGGGCTCTCCTGGGCGGTACCGAACCCCTTCCCTGCCYTCGCGCCGGCTGCTGCAGGACGGGCCTGTCCTTCCCGGCGCCAGGATCCGCTGCCTCCCGCTCCAGCGCCTCCGAGGCCCCGGGCGAAGCTYGGAAGCGGCCCCGCAGCAGCCRCCTCGGCCTCCCTTCTCCTTCCCCGCTCCTTTACTTCCTGAGCACTTCCGACCTCCGCTACCTCGACRTTGCGTTGAAGCCGCCGGCGCCGCTTCCCGGGAGCCGGCGCGGCGGGATGGGGTCCAAGCGGAGGCGCTGCCGCCCGGAGCGCTCCCACACTGTGATGCCGGGCGATGCCCTCGAYGTCTTTTGTTCCCCTCCTCGCCGCCGCTCGCCTGAAAGAGCCTGTCTGGAAACAAGCGCCGCTCCAGCGGGTCTCATTCCCACCGCCCGGGCGCTGGAAATCCCTCAATGGCCCCAAATTAACAGGCTGGAGAGGCCCCGCTCGTGGTGTTGGCGCCGCGTCCTCCCGCCGCGTGTTTTCCCACCCACGAAGGCAGCGAGCCGCTCCCGGGGATCCCAATCATCCGTCTGATCCCCGTCTGTGTGGCGGGATCCAAGCTGTGCCCGCCGGGATTGCCCCTTCCTCCTCCTCCTCCTCCTCCTCCTCGCAGCCCTCCCGCACGGCCACGGTCCTCGGGAGCCTCCGAAGGGATCTCGAAAATGTGAAGGTCACTGTAAATAGGATCTATGTCCACTGTATTGTTGGAGCAAGCAAAAGAAAAAGAAAAAAACACAAAGTTTCCTTTCTTTTTTGGTGTTTTTTTTTTTTTTTTTTTTACTATTTCTGTGCAACTTTGTGCTTTGTGCAGCTGACCAGTGCTCCGGCGTGGGGCTGGGTTTGGGAAAATGTTCCCTATTTATGGCTCCCTCCCTCGGCCGCCCCGCGCGCCCGTCTCCGTTGGGTTCAATTCCAATAAAATCCTTGGTAGCTGCCGCAAGTCCCGGAGCTTGGTCACTGGGGAGGGAGGCGAGGACGGAAACGGGAGGGATCCGAAAGGAGGGGAACGCGGCTGGAAACGGGAGCCGAGAGGAGGGGGCTGTTCAGCCACGTTGCCCTCTTCTCGGCTCCCGTTTCTAGCCACGTTCCCACAGCCCCATCCCGAAACATTCCCAGGAAACCACAAAATGCCTCCTGTGCTTGCAGATGGAGTCAAATCCATGTGGAAATCCAACCCGACCCCCTGGACGGGCATGAGACTGGCTGCATCCTGCTGCCGGGCAGTGTTTCCTGGCTCCCCCACACGCCTCCCTGCAGAGGAGGCCAGAGGCAGCTCCATGGAAAACCGTAGGCGCTGCTGGTGTCCATTTTATGGGATCAATCCCGTTGGGATTGAGGAGGGGCGCTCGGCATGTTGCCGCGCAGCTGGCAGCGCATCCCGCGCCAGCCCGTGCCCACGRATCCCGCCTGCTCCCTTGGGACCTTCCCTTCCGCGGATTCAGCCTCCCTTCCTTCCCGCCGCTCACGCCCTCGCGCTCCGGCCGGGAGCGCTTCCTCCTCCCGGCTCCGCCGCGGCCTCCGGCCTCATCCCCAGCGCCCCGCGCTCCCTTCCTTCCTTCCTTCCTTCCTCGCTCATCCTGCCCGGGGCCCTCTTGCCCCCTGCCCACCACCTCCAGATTCCGCAGCGCTGCCGACCGCTCCCTTCCCGCGCCGCGCTTCCCGTGTATCCAGCCGTCCCCGTGGGTGCTCCCGGGATCGCCCGCACGGGGGGAGCACAGGGGGCACAATCCCGGTGCAGCCGGGAGGGATCCGAAACGGGCACCAGTGGCGACGTGCGCGGYGTTCCCATCCGTGCCCGCCGCATCCCGCCGCTCGCCGGGGCCTCCCAACAAAAGGGCCCCCGCGGCGCCGGAGTGGGGGGGCCGCCCCATTGTGCTCCTGGCATCCCTTTGGCCACGGTGCCTTGGGGGGCCAAGCCGTTGGCAAGCCGACCGCCCGGCACGCGGCCCCCCCGCGTGGGAACCCGCACACAGAGCCCGGCCACGACCCACCCCCCCGCACCCCATTGTGCCCCC